TCCTATGACCCACGGGTACCCTTGAATATGTAGTGGAGTGATGATCTCGCCACGATAGTCATGACTCTGATATCCCGCTTGGGGGTGTTGATGAGGCCAGGCGAGGTCGAAAATGCAGTCTATCCTGGGTGAGATATCATTTTGGAAGGCAATACTAAGTAAAATATAATGGAATCCTGGGGCCTCAACTATTATTTCTTAATTATACCTTATACATGAAACGCTAAAGTGGTCTGGCCTTAGGTTTGCTCACAGTCTCCTTTAGTTGCATAGACTTAGATCTAATTATCGCAACTTATTTGGGCATCGAAACCTACTTGTGCAGAAGATGAGATCGACCGTAATGCTGGCTAAGTCTATATCGGGACCGGATGTTTAATGGCATAGTTAAATGGACAGGTCGCGAAACTTATATAATGTGTAACTGTAATTATTCAATAAGTTAATTTTTTCTGGCTTTATCAAAGAGAATCCCATTTATTTTGCTTCGCTTGGCTACTAATAAGTTTTGGCCTGATGACGTACTAATTCGATACGTATCATGTCGTGTATTCTATCCAATCACTTTATTTAAGCCTGATTCTTATACTGGCTTTCTTGTCTAATGCTCTCCACATTTTGGTCCACCTCATTACTTAGCTGGTTTACACATTTAAAGCTAATTCTATGCCTTGATTAATTTTTTAATTTATAACAGCGGCCGCTTTCCACCACCAGCAGCAACAATTTCAACAACAGCAACAATTCCATTCTCAATCGCAGTCTCAGCACCCCTCGTCGACAGGCAGTGTGCTGCAGTTACAGCAGAACCAGACTAGTAACGCTCCCTGTAGTCATTCCTCTCAAACATCCTCGTCTTCACAGCAGCCTGGTCAACAGATGATGTCTAGCAGCGGCATGTCGATAGCTCTTTTTAACGACATCTTCAATTCTAGGGTAGTTTCTAAGGAGCGGCCTAATCAACTCCTAAAAAGTTGTACGGAGGTTAGTAAGAGGCGAATGCATAATGTATCAAATTAAATATCCTGGTTGGCATATTTTGTATATTAAAGTCTTCTGACCCCTGAATGTCCAGCTCCGTCTTGGAACAAGTGTGTGAACTTGTGTGTTTGCCCCGCAACCATAATCTTTCTCAATAAAATTTTTAACAGAGTTATTGGTAGGTTTTTTATTTGTAATCTATGTATTGTTGAGCTTACTTCCATTTCGAGTGAAAGTGTTGGGTGAAGAGATTCGAAGGCTGGTTCCACCAGAAGACGACTGCGGATTCCTCTTGAGCAGCTATCGATTGGCTTTACTGGAATATTCATGCTGACGCTGTTTCCTTCAATTCCGGTGAAAAGATGCTAAGCTTTCGTCCGTCGTATGACGAACATCATCAGAGCAAGGTATCATCGTCACAACCAAATTCAAG